AGCAGGTAAGAGGTCTCCAAGAAAAGACAAAACATCACTTTTTTAAATCCAGCAATTAAACCGATTACTTGTTCATCTTCAGTAGGAAAGTGACACTTTTCTGAATCTTGAAAATTTGTTTATTTTTCATCTATATGTTGAAATAACACTAGTATGAGCTAGCACAACTAAGCAAAAGAAGGAAATACTCCTAGAGAGTTTCTGTAAAGATGGGGGCTACTCCATCTTCACTATTTCATTGCAGAACAAAAGATGTGATAGATTCTGAGAAGGTAAAAAAAGTTAAATGAATCTAGAAGAAACAGGAAGAAATTATCCTTTATCTCTCATTCAAAGAGCCCATTCCTGATAGAAAGAGAAAAAAGAAAAGAACAGAATTGCAGAATTGAAGCTAACATATTTTTGTAAAGAAATTTAGATGCCTTCAATGATTTTTATTCATTAACATGAAATCAGTGCATATTTAAAGGTATTATAATACAGCTAAAGAAGGTGATACAACATGAGAACTTTATAAAATTTAATTTCATCCCAGTAGGTAATAAGGCTAATTAAAATTTACATTAAAACATTTCATATTTTGATGCTTTTAATCACTTAATGATGTTTCTAGCTGTATTACCTCATATAAGTTATAGACTCTCTTCAGGCAGAGAAAATGAACTTTCAATAAATTAATAGAACTGTTAAGTGTATTCATTAACTTTCTGAAAACTCAATAAAGAACAAAACTTAATTGGATTTTAAACTTTCTTTCATAAATCATGTGATTTAGAAATCTATCTGTACCTCAGACTTTGAGTAATGCTAGTTTAAGTGTAACCATCTTGTGTAGTATTATAATCATAGTTACATTTAATTCCTCAATATTATTCCCACCTGATATCTATGTTCTGTATTATAATATACCATGTTTAATAGCCATATATTTGACTCTGAAGAATTTTAAATATTATTAATTAGTCTTATCAATTTCTAAAATGTGCTTTGCAATTTGATTACTTGGTTTGTTGGTTATTTGTTTAGAACAGTTCTTCAATCGTTCTGACGTAAAACCTTTGATAGCTGAGGGTATACTTACTTGATGTCCTGTCCCATGGATTTTCTATGAGTATCCTTTTTCAAAAACACATTTACTACTAATATCTAAACATTAAATTTACTGTCCTGGGTGGTTCTAAGCACTTTTTGTTTTCAGAGAGCTGATATTTCCAGCAAAAATGCCCAGACTATAGAACACTGCCTGACAGAAGCTCAGAATAGGAACTGAAATCTACCATGAGTACAGTTGTAGGTGCAAACACAAAAATCAACACCTGATGCCCCAAACTGCAACCAAGTGAAATAACAAAAATAAATAAGTAATGAGATGACCATGTGCCTAGAGTTTTAAAGATCTTCAACGTGTATGTGAATTTTTTGCATGATGCATGCCTTAGCTGATATGTCAGGATTGCTGTGAGGTGATGGGATTTTGAATCGTGTCTCTCACTGTACTGCTTAAATTTTAATTCTCATTGTATTCATCACTCAATCAGGTCATCCCTGACTAGATACTGCAGGCGAGATTACAAAAAGTGGTAAAGGTACGGAATGCATTGACAGAAACTCATCAAGTAACAAATGTCATAGCGACTACATACTTGGGAAGATTTAATCTTTCAATTTAATGAGTAAGGTGGAGATACAGCACTCCCAATAAATACACCTATTTACTGATGGGTATTCAGTGGTGGCAAATATTATGCATATGTTGCGACACATGACTCATTCTGGTCTGGGAATAAGATTGTTTGTGTTACTCTATAGATTCTTTTTCTCATCTCTAACAAGGCTAATACGAATCCAGTTGCACTTAGAAGAACTGTTTCAAAAATCGGATGAGGTCATGACCCGTGAAAAGCTTTAAAGATTATAAAGTTCTTTATAATATAACAGTCATTATTCATTGTGAATTTACTTTGTATGCTATTATCTTATTTAATTCTCATAACATTACACTGAGGTTGTTTTAGCCTCATTTTGCAAGAAAAGAAACTGAGCCTAAATGAGGTTCACAGTTATGCCCATGAAACTAGTAAGTGATGAAGAAATGAATAACCTAGCAGGCCAAATCCATGCTGTGTTAATCATATTCTAAACTGCCTCCTGTTTTTAAAGAGTAAGCTGCTGTGTCTAAGAATGTGTAAAGGAGCCTTTTTTGCTCTCAAGCATAAGAGGTAGAGTGAATCTTCTCTTGCTCTGCACAGCCCTGTATAGCCAGAAGAGGGGGTAACAAGCACACATTAGAGCAAGTTCATCAAGACTTTGACCTTGGCAATTCACTACTGTTTTGTTCTGCAAGGCTTTCTCCTATCTTAGTACCTGTTACTGACAGGTCAAGTGTTCTCTTTTACAGATTGAAGGTAAAATATTAGGAGCTTAGAAAAACTCCTAGTCACTTTGCTCCAGCTTTCTCTAAAAAGCTGTAAGCAGAACATGGGTATAAAAAATGCTGTTATAAGAGTAGATTGATAGTTGCCAAGGGTGGGACTGCAGGTGGTCAGAGGATACCAGTATCCACTTGTAAGATGGTAATTTCTGGGAATCGAGTGTACAGCATGGTCACTATGGTTAACTGCACCATTTTGTATACCTGAAAGTTGCTAAGAGAGTAAATCTTAGTTTCTAACTACAAAAAAAGGGGGGGGGGATAATTATGAGGTGACAGATGTGTTAATTGACATTATTGTGGTAATTATTTCACAAAATCAAAATTATCATGTATCATGTCATCACATTATATACCTTAACTAGCAGTCCCCAAACTTTTTGGCACTAGGGATGGGTTCTTCTATGAGAATCTAATGTCTGATGATCTGAGGTGGAGCTGAGGCGGTGATGCTAGCTCCCGGGAGCAGCTGCAAATACAGGTAAAGCTTCACTCGCTTGCCAGCCTCTCACCTCCTGCCGTGCAGCCCAGTTCCTAACAGGCCACAGACCAGTACCACGGCCTGGGGATTGGGGTCCCCTGCGTTAAACATTGCTATATGTC